TCACAAAGTCGACCCACGTTATGTCTCAACAGCAGTGATGGAAGAAGAGTGCTTTAAGAAGTGCTGCAATTTGAGCACAAATGAACCGGCATCGAGGGCCAACATCTAAAAATATGAATCATTTGTAACTTGTAATTCTGGTGCCGACTAGTGAGGGTGATGACTTCCAACCTTTAAGTGGACTAACGGGCACATCCCTAGTTATTAGATTGTGATGTCATCCTCTGACGTTAACCTGATAGACTCGATTACACGCTGAACTTGCTTCATACCTTCAGGTTGACCTGGATGACTCTGTCAAAGTGATCCTCCTCCATGTTGAGCAGGAAGTGGTCCTGCGTGATGCCTGCTGCGTTCACACACACTGAGGAGGCTGGAAGTAATGAGTGTGTAGAGGAACAGAACAATAACTTACAAGGAGAGAAAAACAACACGTGGAATAGCCCCTCCAGCATGAAAACACACAGAGAGAAAAGTACCTTTTTCTACAGAAAGGTTGCTGATTATGATGGAAATGTAAACACATGTTGTGTTGGCTTGTCTTCCTGTCTGTATCACACCTGTATTCTGGTGACCAGCTTCTTCACGCTCTCTTTTGATGACACATCCACCACAGCCGCCATGTGACCCTGTCCTCTGAGGTCATTCTGCAGACCCACCATGGTCTCGTTGGCAGACTCCTCGCTGATGTCTGCCACCACCACGGAGGCGCCCTCAGAGGCCAAACGCTGACATACCGCCCGTCCGATCCCACTGCTCCTCCTGGGAGGGAAAAGAGTAGCATGAAGTTACCAGAGTGACAGAATGTTTTAAACACAACGCTGCAGAGGAAAGACTGAGTGTGACAGAAGATCCACTCTGGAAGTATCTGAAAAAACAAATATCAATCAAGGACGACAAGAAAACACACAGGACAGGAAGCTGACTTGATGTGATTGATTTTCAGTTTGATTAGCCCAACAGTTCAGGGCTACATGACCAATTGTTATTCACAAATCATCTGCGCCCAATCACATTTCTTTCTTTCTTCTGTCTTCAAAAACCTTGAGTCCACTTTTCTATGTGAAAATGTAAGAGGACAAGTGATGCTTCATCATTCATAATACAGCTTTAATGTTTATTCCATCAGTCAAAGAAGACAATTAATAAGCCACAATTCTCATAATACATGTATCCTTTCAGTCACTCACTGTATCCACACTGTATTGCATTTTTTACAGTTTTGAACCTTAAGTCGGACAAAACCAGACATTTAAAGATTTAAACTCTGAGGCATTTAAACATGTTTCCTTTTTCAGTATTTTCACAATTCAACGGCAGATCATTTCATTCTGAAATGGTTGCAGGTCTTATTGATAGCATACACACAGCCAGAATGACAGCTACACTTTCACCTTCACTCTCATTTCAAGTCATCAAACTTAATTCAGTCCGATCTGCTCGAGGTACTGATTTAGAAATCACTGATAGAATCACGGTTACACTAAAATAATGAATTCATTGTCAGCTTACTTTGGAGATCAAACTTTTTGATATCAGAAGCTACTTGCAGTAGGTAGCTGCTTTGATTTGGTGAATTGAAGAAGATTGCAGAAAAACACACGGCTTTGAACGCAACATCTTGAAAAGGGAAAAGGGCATGTCCTTAAACGTCTCACTTCACACAACACCATGTATCTTACAACATATATTTACCAGTGACCAGCGTCAACCTTGATATCAGCCGTGTGGCAGCCGTCATACTCCCATCATGTTTCCCCCCCTTATGTTGTTGTAGCTTTCGGGTTGTCCACTAGATGGCGCCCAGTGATGAAAAATGTTACGTGTTCCGGTTCCGGTTGATGACGAGCCCAGCAGAGTTTAACTAAAAGCTAAGGAGGCGAGGAGGGAATCATCTATTACAATGCTTTGTCATTTTATTCATCAAACTGACCATAGATTACAGTCACAGTATGAACAGGATGGAATATCCCTCCGTTTTAATACAAGGTTTATTTTGAAAGGGTTTAACGGAAGTATCTCTTCGCTACGTGTATCTAACTTGACTCTGCGGGTGTAGTTCTTCATTGAGGCCACTAGATGGCGCACGATACTGAATACGCCAATGTAGAACAAGAAACACATTTAAAAACAGCTACACGGACAGAATACATGATGTTGATTCAAATGAACATTAAATACATTTTTATCTTGGACAACAGATATTTTATAACTTAATTGGCCATAGATTAAAGCGTTGTGTTGTTCACTCCGTCAAACATTACCTTCATAAAGTGCAGCTAGCGTTAACAAGAGGGAGCTGTAAGGCGATGTGATAATGTTCCTTTACAAACTTTCACTGTTTGATAGAAGAAAAAGATTAAAGTCTTTTGTTATAATTCGGTAAAGTTAATTAATCAGCATGAACAACGGCTTCCTAGTTTTGGTGAATTGTTCAGGAGGACACAAACTTTCCTGTGAGCTTTGCATAGATGTTTAGAATTAGCGGCAGAAACTTTGTTGATCAAGAGGGAGATAAAATGCCTCAACCTCCATTAATTTGAGGTAAAAGTATGAAATGATGTATTCCTCTTCCTCGATAGTCTTGTTCTTGTTTCTAGCTTGAGGAGGTTATTCTTAACAGAGTTGATAAAAGTATAACCGTGAGTACACACTGCCCCCCTGTGGTCAAAGTGCAAAACTTTTATTTTGATAGTGATAGTCGGAAGTTGTTCTTTGTATAAACATCTACCTTGACAGATTGATGACGCAGTAAATCATTGTGTCATACATAGCGTAATTATAATATAAATAAAGCACATATGGCATTATCATTAACAAAGCAAACAGTGTTTGTACTTAAGCTGTGAGTATTTGGATTTATTTAACTATTGAGGACAATTATCCTTAAACAATCTTTAACAAGAGCTTTGAATTAACTGTAAAAGTTCTCTGTTTTTACTGTCTGTGATCATCAACACGTCATGTATGAAAGAATTGAGTTGACTGAGAGAGGGTCAAATATTTAATAATAATAATTTGGGGAAAGTATACATTGTATTTCTGGATCAGGGATAGTATAAGCTCATTTATTTATTACAATAAAAAATGTATCAGATAATCAGGCCTCTGTGAACATACGATCACACACTAAAAATATATGTATTTATTTTACATGTGATCACACAAGATTCAAAAATAATAATAATAATGTTATAATAATAATAATAATAACATCTATATATAGGACAATTTTTAAAATCAAGCTACAAAGTGTTTTACAAGGACAGCAATAATAAAACAAACGGAAAACAGTCTAGACATAAAATCATAAGTAAAGGCAAACAATTATAAATAACAAACATTTTACATAACATTCATTTAAAAGATCTTTAAAAGAAGCAAAAAATATACATTTTGAAGGAATTTTTAATGTAAACTAAAATGACGTGAGGAAGGGCTCGCTGTTTAAAATATGTCTTAGGAGGGGGTTATAATGAAAAAGAGATTAACTGACTGATTATCTCACATGATCTCCTTCTCTCTACTTTCCCTATGATTTTATTTTAACAGCGATGACCGGAAGTAGTACAATGTAATTTATTTTGACTTGACAGTATTGATGCTGTAGTTACTCACTGTGACCACTAGAGGTCATAAATAATGTGCTTCTCATTTATTTACCGTTCAATCGTCGGCTACCCATGTTAGTGACTTCTCAAGTTAACTAAGGAAGCTTTGATGATTTCACATTAATTATGGATACCTTCAGTTGTTTGAAGGGTCCTATGATATCTCTGTGTTGGCATCTGTTTACAAATTAATTAATTAGTGGAGTAAAAATAAAAAATAAATTAATTTATAAGTGACATGTTGCAAAAACATTTGTTCTGTTAGACATGAAGAACAGCAGCCAGCTTTTGAGGAAACTTTATTTTTATTAATTTATTTCAATCCATATCGTTATTGAAATATTGAACAATGTTATCATTATTGAATATTATTTCTCATATCGTTCCATTGCATATGTGGTAATTGTTACGTCCCATCTCCATTATTTGAATGTGATTTGTAGTTTTATTTAAAAGGAACAGATTTTTTGAACATCACCATAAAGTATAGATCAAATCCTTTAATTAAAGGTATCTCATCATTATATTACACAGAGCTCATCCTGCATATTTTATGATTATGTGTAAACACTGAAATTAATTTAACTTTAGTTCAGGTTGCATTCTCCACAAGTCTCGTTTTGTACATTTGAAGCTTTTATGTTTCCCCCCAATGATGACAAAAGTTCATCCTCGCCATCTTTTCTCTGCACCCCTTTTCAGAAAATGTGAGCTCAAACAGGCCGTTTTAGTGTTTGTCCATCATCTTGTCTGAGCTGCAGACTCATCCTAAAGTAAGGCTTTTAGTCGGCTTGGGAGATTTTATTTCGCTGCTGTATGCACATGTTTCTTTGAATAACATTTCTGATGTGGTGATTCGTGTTATTTCTGTTCATTGTCAGTCTTTTTCTCTCTGTGCGAAACTTTGATGCTGCTGTCTTGGCCAGAGCTCTCTTGAAATAAGAAATCTTGTATCTCAATGAGAATATTTTTCTGGTAAAATAAAAGTTAAATAGATTAAAAACAATATGCCTGTGTGAGGTTTGGACTGAGTTTACACAAAAAGCAGAGCAAAATGAAACACAGCATCAGGTGTTCAAACATCAACAAAGGTGTCACATTTCTCTTGTTCCAGCAGTTTTCAGCGTCCAAAGCTCCAAACTAGTTCAGGATCATTGAACCTGTCAGATAAAGCTGGATCTGTAAAGTGTGATCTGATGTTATTTCATTCAAACCATCTTTTGTGTGTCAGTGATTGTCCTGACAGTCGGCCTAATCTGTGCTAAGACCTGTGTGTAGACCTCTACTGAAGAGTTATACACAACACATGCAGAAAGTGATAAAAGAAGAAAATGATAAGTACTTCAAAAAGGTATAAGACGTCCTCCTTCATCTGATTTAATAACATTATTCAATGTTATGATTGTGCACACGTGTATTTAAATATCTGATAATCACAGAGCACATTGAGTTACTGCAGGACAGGAGAGCACCTCACCACATTTACTCACTATAACTTATATTAAACTATATTTATATCTGGATTAGGACTTTTTATTAAATCCCAGAGCAGCCATACAGAACAAAAGCACAAGACTCAACTACATCCCTACAAACTCCAGATTATCCCTGTATCTGACCTTTGAACTCTCACAAATGTATACACTTGTTCTTAAAACTTCACATTAACCAACAAAATATATAAAAATAATCTGATCATCTGAAGGTTTAACACTACTGTGATAAATAAATAAAGTCCTGCGTGTCTCCCAATGCTCTGTCATGGGCTCAAACAAGCGGAGTTAACTTTCACTTTCATTCACAACAGTAACATTAACAGTCTATGTTCAGAACCTGTCTGAGTCAATGTGACCTAGTTACTAGTGACGTCGGTGCTCAGGCTGAATTCCTATTGGCTGAGACAGAGGTTGAAGTCAGCTCTCTTTTTTCTCCTCACCTCATTTCACCCTCAGAGCTCGAAACACGCAGATTCTCAAGAAGTTGAAAGTTGGACGAAGCTGAAGACTTCACAGGTCACAATGAAGACTCTGGTGTTTGTGTCTCTCGTGGGATTATTCCTCCACGACACGACGGCAGGTGAGTTCAGATTCATTGAAGACGATTTAATGGAAAGAGGGAAATGTCGCATGTCTTTATAAACTGTTGGTAGAAATGAAAGCTTCATTTGATGTTTGTTCTCAGGACTGAAGCAGCTTGTTGAAATGTGAAAAGTGAACATTTAATTTGACGTTAGTAAATCCTGTTTGTTCACGTCCTCACACCCTGATACTTACAAGAAAAGTGTTGTTGTGAGAAAGGCTATAAAAAGTGTCTGCTAGTTATCTTTTCCAAAAGACAAGCCGAGAAATGATGAAGGCCCGGTTCATATGAACAGGACCATGAATGTTAAAATAGCAGCATAACTACAGTGAACACAGCAGATAGACTCTGATTCAGAAAGAAAAAGGAACTAAATGCCTTCAAAGTGTTTCACCTCTAAAACCATTAACAGAGCATTTAAATGGACTCTTTAAGTCCTTCATGACACTTTAATGTTAGAAAAAGTGTTTTGTTATTAATGTAGTATAATTAATGTGGTATAAATACTTATTTCACTTGAATGAATTGTGATAATTAACATATAATCAGAGTGTCACAGTCATTAAAGTTCATTTTGTGAGGATCAAACTCAAATATGTGCTCAAAGAATCAGAAACATAATCAACCTCCTGACCCTCAAAATGAAGTTAATCTCGGTTTATTGTTTTACCTCTGAATATTTGTATATGAAATATGAATAAGCTCAAAGCTATTCCACAGATGATCTTCATCTTTTACATGTTTGTTTGTTGTTTAGTTGAGATCACATAAACCCTGAAGCTCCAACATTTCATTGAAGTCAAACATCAGACTGTTTAGTGGATCTAGAAACACATATCTGCTGATGTGAGCTTATTGCACATATTTAGTTTTCTGTGCTTATGTTGGCCGATAAGTGACAGAAAACAGTGAAGCAGCTTGAACATCATTTAGAAACAGAGTCTGCATTACAGAGTTTGTCCACCAGAGGGCAGTCACGACTTTATTCTCAAACTGAAACGTCACAGCTCAGTTTGTGTTTCCCACACAAAAAGAAATAAATGGTTTTAATCTGTGAAAGTCAAAAAAACATCCACAGCAGCCTCAACAATTCAGCATTAATAAGACTACAAAGTTTGTAGACTTTATTCAAAGTGGTTACATTTATTCCTGCACAGATTTATCTAAAAGCTTTTTTGTTCTGAGCAGTGCATATTTTTCTAAAGAGCAGATTAAAAACAGAACAATGATCGACGTGCATTCAGAAAGCAGACAACATGCAGGATTCAGAAATGATCTGTCATTTAGTTGAAGTTTTTTAGTTGAGTTTTTTCTAATTGAGTTTTTCTGCGCTGGCTGATTGTGCAGCTCCACTCAGTCTACACAGCTTCTTAAACTGTGCTCCATATACTGTTCAATAGTTTTTCTTTGTTGCTGTCCTCCAACACTGTCCTTTCAAAACTCAAATAATAAAACCCGCCTACGTGAGGACTAGTCATGAGATGTCAAGAAGTCAATAAAAAATCCACTTAATGAAACATATCTGTCAATGAAAGTCAGGGGCATGACTGCATCACTTGAATATTTGACTTGTTGAATAAATAATTTCAGTATAAAAACATTTTCTAACACTTGAATCAGAAATATCAGAATAAGAGTTCCAGGAGAACTTTTTCTTTTCATCTCTAAATTAATTGGAGTATTTAATGACTGCAGAGAGATGATCAGGTTTGGTTGAATGTACTGGAAGTGTTTTTTGATTCTGTGTGCTGGATAATAACTTTTGTTCAATGATGCAAAAAGTTTCAGATTAAACTGATGAAAACATTTTGTCCTTACAGAGATGCACTCTCTGAAGAATTTCTACACGGCGTCTTCTGAAGTCCCAAACTTCCCAGAGTTTGTGATTGTTGGGATGGTTGATGATTTTCAGATAACTTACTACGACAGTAACACCAAGAGAACAGAACCCAAACAGGACTGGGCGAAGAAAGTCACAGAAGACAAAGCTGACTACTGGGAGTGGGAGACTGAGAGCTCTGTGGGTTACCAGCAGAACTTCA